GAATTACTAGAGGACTGAATTTTGTTGTGAACTGAATGTCCTGGAGCAGTGTCACGTTTATAATAGGATACTTTGTAAAACTGTTTCTCTCGGTAATGTAATATTCTAAAATCCAACACACACAATAATTTAGTAGTACAGTAGTATGTAAGCATGGAGCCATCTAGTGGTAAGCACTCTCTAAGGCAGGAGGAAAAAAACTTGTTAAAGGCACTACTCTATTGCACAAAATATGGGCCATTCAACAATTCTATTCTCTTCAGTGGGCAAGTCTACATGAGACAAATGCACAGAAGACCAATTTTACTGCACGTTAGCATGACGGACAAAGTCCATGCTAATGCACTAATGCGCAGTAGATTTAATTTAATGTGCATTAATGTCACTAAAAAACATTCATCTGTGATAATGCACAGTAGCACCAATTATGCCACATTAATTAATATGTAGATGTGCCCAGTAGGAACTAAATTGCTTTTAAATATTTAAAATCTCTAATTATTACCATAATGTGCATATGGACTTAAATATATTACAATAGCAACTTCCAATATCAAATGTTTGAAAACAACTTTATCTTTTTGCCTTGTTCACACCAAGGCTCAGTATTTCTTCTGCAAGAACTCTTTCTTACTCTCATTGAAGCAAAGTAAAGAACACTGCAAAGGGGAGTTGTTACAGTATTTGGACCCAAATGATTTAGCAAAGTATCCCAAAGAAATCATTTTTGGTTTATTGGTTTAGCTAGAAGGAGAACTCTGCTTTGCATGCCAAGCTCCCATGTTCTTTTTTTATATGCCCGCTGAGGCAGAGCTTATAATGATGTTAGTACATTTACTATCTAAGCAGTAAGTGCTAGTCAGGAACGTAAGACTAGAAGGGGCTTTCTGGATCAAAAAAGTCTGAAGTCCATATTTAAATTATGTTTTTCCTGATTTTTCAATAATGCTGACCTTTCAGCTGCTTGCACTGCTTCAGTGGTTTAGTCACAAAGCTAAAACCACTGTAGTTTTATAGTTATGGTATTGTTCCAAATCTGTTGACCCTCCATACAAGTAAATCCCACATTTTCAGTTTCAATGTTAAGAAAAACAGTATTTATCTTTAGTATTAATTGACTGTCACAGATACAGTCATCCTGCTATTACGCTTGAAAAGACCCACAGGTGAAACAAATAACCAAAGAAAGGACTCTGAAATCTAGATACACTAAAAATGCTGAAATAAAAACTGCTCTGGAAAAAAAATCTGATTTTATATTATTATTATTATAAGCACAAGAGTATTGCAAGTCTGGATTGTCAGTGGCCTAATAATCCTGTATATGAGTGCAATTTTTATGGTGGAAAAATAAATTGAGATATATTTAAGCACCAGCATGTCAGAAATGGCTCTCTTAACATGTCAATTGATTTTAAAAAAGCATAAAGGTTATATAATTCACTCTAGTCTGGGAGAACTATCCTTTTATTATTTAAGTCCTATATCTTTTTATTATTTAAGTCCTATATCTCTTGTTCTTTGACACTCAAAAGACAGACTTAAGCATCAGTGTTAGTTCAAATGTTCAGGATACATTGAGAAATTTTCTAATAAATAAAGTGGTATTGATATTCTGTTTTTTTTCAGTGGTTGCATCTACATTTGCACTTTACTGTGGAATAGACTGATTAGCTCTACAGTAAGGTGTCATCGGCTACACGTGCAACAGTATTAGGGCAAAGTAAATTAATTAGCTCCAGACAGTACTATGTTATGGTGGAGTAATTAACTGTGATGAGACACGCGTGTAAATGGTGACATGGGCTGGGTGGCATACAAGGGTCCTAAACTGCGGGGGCTGCCTGCCACCTAACCACATGGCTCTGCACTTTAGCAACCTTGTACCCCTGCCAACCCTCCACCATCGATTGCCGTCACCCAAAGCCTAGGTCTGACCCACCAAGCACCCTGCCAACTTGGGGCTGCTCTGCCCCAGGTCAAATTGCTGCTGTCTTGGGCACACATGTAGATGTTGCACCCTGAAAGAGCTGACTCGGGCTCAAATGGCTCTGGAGTTCATTGCGTGGCATTAATTGTACATGTAAATACACTCAGTAGGCGAGTCCAGACAAGTACATTTGTAGCATTCAGCACTACAAAACAGTCTGTAGCACCGCGCAGCGAACGCACTGCATATGCAGGTATTCCACACATTGTTAATTTACAGCACAAGGGAGGGATGCGGGGGGGTTGACACCAAGAGATCCCAGTGTCAGAAAAACCCACGCCTAAAAAAAGCAGGGCAGCACGCATGACAGCATTGTGCGCCACCCACAACTGGAGCTTAGCTGGCCAGATCCACACTCCAGCTGTCAGCCAGGCTCCCTGCTGCCGGATTGCCGTGTCTGCAGTCCCTAGAGACCTCCAGACTCCAGAAAGCCTGCTAGGGCCAGCCCAGGTGCTGACCCTAGCATCCCCTATCTCACTCAGTGCAACATGCCATGTGCCAGAGCACGTGTACATTTGCATCCCCCAGGGTCAAGCACCAGTGGTACATATTGTGCCACTGTTGTTTGTCCCCAGGGCAACACTGGTTCCCACTCCTGGGGACACACCCAGTGTTTAAAAAAGACCTTCCTATCCAGAAATAGAAAGGTTTGGTGTAAACAGGGAAATAAATTTGGTTATTTCTGTGGGGCAAGAATCATGTCTCTTACATGTTAATTACCAACAATGTATGTGGCATGGCAGAAATAATACTGAATAATAATTCATTAAAAAGTAGCTCAATTAGAAAAACAGTTGTACCCTAAATTTTAATACGGGATGTGACATCTCCATAATGTTCTCTGCTCCCTAATAATGGACAAGTATACAATTTGGCTGCTGTAAATCCCAGGAATAAAATAAAACATATAACGCATCAACAACATACAAAGTGATATGGCATATGTCCCGATTTAAAATATATACATTTGCTTTTAAGAACCTGTTTAGGTATAAGATGTCTTCTGTCTCTCTTTGCAAAAAACTCAACATCTTCAGAAAGATCGTGTGTTAGGACAGAGGTCAAAGAAAGATGACAATAACATCCTTTCTGAGAAATGCAGACTGGAAGCTCTTCTATCTGAGACTTGAATTTGAGTACTAAAGGTAAAGTTTGCTTGGCTTTCCTTAGTCCATAGGAATGCTTTTTTTAAAATCAATTCTCAATGTAAGAATGAGAAATGGTGTTGCACAGGTGGAAGAAATTATTTTGTGAGCAATCCCATACAGCCACTTGTCCCTATTTTGAGCAATCCTATTTAGCCACACATTCACTTTGGAGAATATGTAAACCCTCAGAGGACATTATCTGTTACCTGTGCTGTTCCACTTAATGTAACATGACTATAATGAAGATGGAGATAGCCTTTTCTCTGTGGCTGTAGGGGACAGGACTAGAAGCAATGGCTTCACATTGCACCAGAGAAAATTTAAATTGGAGATTAGGAAGACCATTCTGACTATGAGCATGGTGAAGCACTAAAATAGACCACTTAGAAAAGTTGTGGAATGTCCATCCCTGGAAATTTTCAAAAGCAGGGAGCTAGACAAGATAAACTCGTGAGGACCCTTCCAGCCCTGCTTTCCTAAAATTAGGCAGATCTACTTGTCATCCACAGTGCCATTTCCCTTGATTCTTGTCTTTCAGTTTGTTTCCCACTGATCCTTTTTCTTTCCTCGATATGATTTGTTCCTCCGACCATTTGCAGAATCTTCTGACAGATGGGCATTTATGTCATGCATGTTACAGGCCATTCGTGCATATACATTCAAGATGAAACTCTTCAGAAGAAAATATTACAGTGTTGGTTAAAACCTATTAGGATCAACAAGGTTCCTTTTGATGCAGAGCAGATGCATAAAGGGAAGCTTGAAGCCAGGGCATATCAAAATCATGGGATCCTAAGATAGGAACCTGGACTATGATTTTTTCCAAAGTGCCAAGCCTAGGAGTTGAAACAAGAACATGGAACTCAGCATTTAGCGAAGTCTGAAGAACACAGAAGTAGCACAAACTGAAATTTGAAGTGTCTGTTACATGGGAATTTTTTCCTGAAAACAAGTTTAGATTTTCCAGAACTTCCTTTTGAAAGAAATTTCCCAAAGTATTTATTTTGGAACAAATGAATTATTTCTGTTCAATTTTTCTCTGTAACCAAATAGAGTGCCAGACTACTCCAAATCCCAGGGAGTTGGGATGAGTCCAGAGGTTTCCCCAAGGTGATAAGAGTCCCTTACTACAGGTCAGGAAGCCAGTGGTAAAAGTCCTGAAAACCTTGGTTTGAGCTAGAGGTCCACCCAGAAGCCTAAGCCCTGATGTCCCTTGCTGGTCTTGGGGAAATACCTGAGAAAGAGAAAGGCCTGGGTGTATTAAAGGAATTATAGGATTAGTATGAACCATCAACTTGATACAACCATGGGGAGCCCTATGGGAAGGATGACATGGTGCTGGAAGGCCATATTTGGCCTACAGGCTGGGGCTTGAGCACCACCCCTCCCCACCCCCAGATTAATCTCTAAGGACAGTGCTGGTGCAAGAGAGAACAAATGGCTGTGTATAAATTCAGGCTGGAAATTAAAAGGCTTCTAACCATCAGAAGAGGGAGGTTCTAATTCAGCCTCGTAATAGGGCCAAAAAACCCAAACTCTTTTAAAACCTCTTAAATCTCCCTTAGTTACTTTTCTTCTCAGGGTTTGCCACACATTCAAGTCTAGCTTCTGTTGTTTACAAATATCACTACATAAATACACATTTAAATGCTTCTTCCATTTAGCCAGAAAGCAGAATGGTTAGCACGCCCTCCTACTTCAAACACATCTGTGATTGCCTATTATATATTAATTATTAGATCAAAGACCTGTTAAATGACAGCTCTTCAGACATTTCAACATAAATGTATGGATAATTTCTTTTTAACAAGATTTGTGTATCTGTACATATTATTTTAAAATAGGGTTTTAAAAGTCCCAGGCAATAATTTTTTTATTTTTTATTAAAATCATATTCATACAAACACTGTAGCAGAGAAGCAAAACTACAAAGGCCTCAAACCCATAAATCCTAAAAGGTAAGCTATTTCATCATACTAAAAATAATCAGAATATCACATTTATACTGGAACTTGAAAGCACATTTATCTTATTATATTGCTATACATTGAGCATGTATTGTATTTTAACTTTATTTCTGTTATACTGAACAAATATACAACCTCTATCGCCTTTAACAATTTTACCTGTTCAAAACAGGTTATCGATGCATGTAGGACTCAATCCTGCATAGTAATCAGTGTTGTGAATGAGTGCTAAGTATAGAAAACCCTTTTAAACATATGCTTAACTTTAAGCATATGAGTATTCCAGTGAAACGAAACTTCTTGACTGAGATTATTTTTAATGCCAGTGGGATTACTGACAGCCTTAAATTTAAATACATGCTTAATTAACTGTTTTGCAGAGTCTTAAAACCTATGTTTCCCTTCATGATTCCTACTCCCTGGGTCAAAGAATTTCCTCTGACTGGTAGCAGCACAGGGTTTAAGCATTTTCTCTTAGTCATATTTACAGTCAGCAGATACATCAACAGGAGAGACTTCCAGCAGGAGTTGTAAATAACAAGTAATTTTACCGACAAAACCAAAATATAATTTAAAATGTACAAAAGGCAGGTAAATAAGAAGGCTTCCCAGCATAAAAATAAAAGCATATATATACTGCACCTTTGGAGACCAGATTATAGGAGCCAAAACTAAGAATAATGAAATTGCCACCATCACAAATGCTACTGGTAAGAACACCTACAAGAAACACAAAAAGACTGTTTCAGAAAGTATTATTTGCAATAAAAATAAAATGCTTATTGCAATAGTAAGTATAGTTACAAGCACAGTTCTTGTGCTATCACAACTTCCTGTTGTGCCTGGCAGTGTATCAACAAAAGTCAAAGTGACATAAAATTTAATCTAGCAAGGAAGATGTTGCCAATGTCGCTGATTCATATCATCTCATGGTTTCCCTGTACTCTGCCATCTCTCTCTTGTCTTCTACATAGATTGGACACTGTTTGGGGCAGGGACCATCTTTTGTTCTGTTTGTACAGGGCCTAGTATAATGGATCTTGATACAGGATTGGAGTTCTAGGGACTAGTGAAATACAGATAATAACAAATAATAATGACCTCTCATTTTATAATTGCTGTTCACAATCTAGATGTTTTATAACTTTTACCCTATATCCATGACCCAGGAAATTTGTTACTATATTTTATAATAGGTTTCTATTTACCTTGTATGGTCGGTGCAGATTAGGTTCCCGGTATCGGAGTACAATTAGGCTAGCACAGGTCAGTCCAATCATCAGCCACACGGAAAATCCAAAGTAATTTGTTAAAGCAATGAGATCAGAGGGGATAATAAAAATGGAAGCAATGATGGTTGAAAAAATCATGGCTGGAGCTGGAGTGCAACAGTGAACATTCAGCATGGATATTAAAACAGGCAAATGTCCTGACTGACTTCCAGCATAGCTCAATCGTCCTAATGTAAACATGCTACTGTTGAGGGCACCAAATATTGAGACAGCAACAGATAAAGGAATGATCCAAGCAACAGCAGGGATTACTCTGTCAGCCCATGTGACTGCCACAGCAACTGCAAGGAAACAAGAAGCTATTAAGACTAAGGGTGTAGCACTCCAATAATCTCATTGAAGTGGTGTCAAACCAAGAGAGGTACATTCTGGAAGTAGGCAATAAAGAAAGGGAGAGACCCATGGCAATGTAACTAGTGTGGTTTCACTATATATATGTGGTAGGAAGAAAATCTGGGGAGGAAAACAAATGTGTTAACTTCTCATGTGACACTTAAGGTGAAGAATCCCTGTGTGGCGGCCTGATAGGGCAAAGACAGGTCAGAGGATATAATAGAACATGGATCATCTAGTCTTCCACCCCATGGTGGGATTGCACTAAGGAACATGAAGGTCTATGTCCTAGGGACAGACATTCAAGAAGCCTGAACCTGAATTGATTCTATCTTTGCAGGTTAGTCTAACCTGGCTAGGCTAATTCCGTTTTGTAACTGGACAGACATCACAGAAATGCAGACACATGCAGTGACTCAGGCTAGAAGCCGGGGGGCTCTAAAACATCCCTCCCTTCCTTCCACAGCATGGAGCTGAGAGCGGGGAGTGGCCAGGCTCCAGCAGAAGGCTGTGATTAGCCTAGCAGGGAATTGGTAACAGTGTTTATCACCTAATTAAGAAAACAGCAGAGGGACATTACCAGCTACTTATTGATTCTGCCTGTTGATTCTACCTGTTGATTCAGCACAGACCGTAGCCAACATGGGGTCCACTAGCTAATACACAGACAACTCCTCAGCAAGGCAGAGGGGAGGGGGGAATTCTTGCTTAACAGGGAGTGGTGAGGGGAAGGAGAGGAGCAGCCCACAGTCTGTGCTGGAACTGCAGCCAAGGAGCAGAGGGTAGGGGCCAGCCCTGCTGTGGAGCAGAGCCCCACCCAGTCCAGACAGCATAACAGGATGCTGGGGGTATCTGGTTTATCTTAAACCAGCAAGGGGTCTGCTTGGTTTAAGATACCATTTTGGGTCAAACTGGTTTGACCCAAATCAGTTAAGTCAGATAGTACATTCAACCAGGTTTATCTCAAACCGGTTTCAGCCATTCTCAAACTGGTTTATGTGCACCGAACATTTGTTCTGTTACAGGTTTAAACCAGTTTCTGATCACTGTCCCTAGCCCTCATGTCTCTTGCAAATCTGTCATTGTTATAGCATTTGCAAGTGTGAAGGTCATAGTTTACTGGGCCAACAGTCAAACAACATAAGGCACAGATACTGCAATGATGTGAGAGTAGCTGATGAGAACAGAAAATGGTCATTAAGTTACATTAACAGTGCAGCCCAGTCAAACTGAAAAAACAGACTGCAATCCTGGATTTATATCCTTATCAAGTATACATGGGTGATAAGCACCCCTTGTTTCAGGGGCACCTGGCTAAGCCCCTAGGGACAGAAGTAAGGCTGGAAGCCATGTCCAGCAGAGATCCCCTGAACTTTTACTATGCATTTTCTACTTCAGGAACAGCTTTGTGTTCTGAAAAAGTATTTTATCTAACCAAGGGCATAGAGTAGGTTGTTTAGGCTGGGGGAGATCGCTTGTTGCTTAGTTGTTTAATTGCTGGCCTCACTAGAGGAAAAGCTGTATCAACAAAGTTCCGGAGCTGGAAGGGGGGTTACTTGGGAGGGAGCTGGAAGATTTCATCACATCAGCAAGTTTAACCTGTTACGTAGCTATATAAGGCAGACGCCCACTGGGGTGGGGGTGCTTGCTTTGCGAACGATTGCCAAGCGCCACTTTCTGTGCAGAAATAAAGATTAAGTTGGATCCTTCACCCCTGTGTGTTTATTGGCACAAGCGCACCGGGCACGAACTCACTGTCCTTTGGGGACAAGAATTTCTGGCGACCCAGATGGGACGCTAGCTGACTGCCTTGCCCGGTCCACCTCTTCAGCTCCGGCAACAACTGTGGACGGCGCGAGGGCCAGACGCCACCGACCTTATTCGTCAGAGGTCTGACCGTCTCCTGGTTGCCTGATGGAGTTGGGGAGGGGCACAACGGCGCAACGCTCGAAGGACCAACTTAATCAGGTGGGGCGAGGGAGGTTTCAACGGACTGGTGAGTACTTCTTTCCATATTTTGGGCAGGTTGGGAAAGAGAC